GAAGAATGGAAGAAGAAAGTTGAGAAAGTGAAGGGAGAAGGATGAATGACGAAGAAATGAGAGAGAGAAACAATAATTAACAAAATTAAATGATAGGGGAAACGAAGATGAGAGAGGAGAAAGGAATAATAAATTGTTGTTGTTTCGAGAAAACCATGTGCAGTAGCTGTTTTTATATTAAAACCACTTTGAATGCTGGCACGTAGAAAGAGAATTGCATTGGGATGTAAGATAAAATTAAATATAGCCGTTGGATTAAATTGATGGTAAATGGATTGATGTAAAAGTCGGTCGGTCGGTCGGCTTTTCTTCTTTTGGAACTATCAACCGACCGACCGATTAATTTTTAAACTCTAAAACTGAAACCGACCGAAGCACAGCCAAAACCGACCGAACCGACTTATTTTGGTCGATTTTGGTCGGTCGGGTCTGTTTTCCAGAGACCAGTGTGCACCACTACTTTTTACGCCTAGATCTGATGTCTTTTAAAAACTTAGTGTAGTTAGGAATTTTTTCTAAAGCATCTATGAGAGGTATATTGATATGCAACTGTTTTAGAATCTCAAAAAACTTCTTAAAATGACTGTCCTGATTCTTTTTAACTAGCCTTTGGGGGAAAGGTGGAGGAATCTTAATATTACCTACCTGTGGAGTAGTGTTGGGCACTATTTGCTTACCTTTATCTGCCTTCTTACCTTTTTCTTCTTAACTTACAGGTTCTGCTTTCTCTTCTTGTTGTGGATTGGAGGTGGATGCAAGAACAGGTGTAACTGCTTTAGTTCCTTCGTCTGGAAGTGAGGGTCCATCATAACTTAATCCGCTTCTCGTGATAACAGCCTTATAGTGCTCCTTTCCCTCACGATCTCGCTTCGGGTTTTCTGTGTGTCCAGGCAATGTACCTTGGGGTCTAGATTTCTGGTCATTTGCAATCTGCCCCACTTGCATCTCTAAGTTTCTTATTGCAGCGTCAGTTCTTGTCATGAACTCTTTCATCATGGCCTCCAAACTTGCGTTGCTACCACTTTGCTGAGTAGTATTTTGACCTCTTTACTGATTATACTGTTGAGGCTGCGACGCCGGTTGAGTTGGAAAACCAGGAGAAGTGTAGTTTTGCTTGTATTGTTGAGCAGGTGCTTGTGCACTGCTACTAGCTACTCCTTGGTTACTCCATGAAAAGTTTGGATGGTGCCTCCATCCAGGGTTGTAAGTGTTTGAATGCGGGTTGAAATTCTACTGGGCACCTTGACATACATAGAAAATAGACGCTGGATTAGCTGGACAGTTCTCCTACAAGTGGTTATCACCACAATAGACACAAGATATATCTGAAATTTGTAAAATAGGAGAGGGTTTAGGTATCGCTGAAGTGATGGTTTTGGTTTCCTTCTTCATTGTCAACTGCTTTAACATCTGGTTCATAGCCGCCATTTGGGCTTGCATTGAAGCTACTGTATCTAACTCAAAGATTCCAGCTGATACTTGCTTCTTTGGTAATGACATTTCTATTTCGCCTTGGTCATTAATGTCTATCATCTTATTCAAGATAATAACGATCTCATTTATCGACTTCTCTAACAACGAACCATTGGCTGCAGTGTTCAACATCATCCTTGATGAACGATCCAATCCTCTATATAATTGTCCAATCTGCGCACATGCGGGCAATCCATGGCTCGGGCATCTTCTAAGTAACTCCTTAAAACGCTCCCAAGCTTCTTGAACTGCTTCGTTCTCCTTCTGTCTAAAAGACACAATGTTCTCTCGAAGGTCTGCATTCCTGGTCAAAGTGTGGTACTTTGCCAAAAATTTCTCCGTCAATTCCGCCCATGTGTTGATAGAATTTGGTTCTAACTCGTTTAGCCAAGTCCTTGCACCATCCCTGAGAGAAAAAGGAAACATTTTTAATCTTAGTGAATCCTTAGAGACACCAAGAAGCTGAAATGCATTAGCTATTTCAATAAAGGATTTGAGATGGGAGTAAGGATCTTCGTTAATCAATCCTCCGAACTGGCCCATCGTCTGTAACATCTGGAACATGACTGGCTTGAGCTCGAACTGTGCGGCTTGGGGTAAAGGATTATTTATCCCTGAATTTAGGTTGTGGAACGCATGAGTGACATAATTCCGCATGGCTACATCTCAATTATCTGCTAGAAGGATTAGATTAGGAATTTATCCTGCTCGGTTTGCTGCTCCTTCACCTGCCATATCTCCATTCACAGATGGATTTTGTGGCGGGGGAGGATCTTGTGGATTTCTATTCATCTCGATGGTCTCTTCTTCTTCAACTTTTTTCTCTTTTTTACTTTCTTTCTCTTCTCTCAACCTCTGCTCACGCCTTCTCCTCTTAAGGGTTCTTTCAATCTCTGGATCAAAGGTCAACCAACCAGACCCTGTGCTCATATACAACTCCTTTAAAGGTTAGATATAACAATTAAGTCCAATGATAGAGGTATGCAACAATCACACAATGAAATAATTCACTTGAAAAAAATATGATTTGAAAACTTAAGTCCCCGGAAACGGCGCCAAACACTTGTTAGAATTTTCTCTATCTTTAAAAAGATTAGAGACTCGTGCAAGCGCACACAGTCACAAGTAATACTCGGAAGTAATCCAAGGTCGAATCCTCAAGGACTTGTTGCTTTTCAAAATCAAGTAATGCAGTGAAATGGTTCAAATATGC